GCCGCGTTGGGGTCAGGCGACTTTGGATATGGTTCTGATGAGACACCGTATCCCCTTCTCTCATTCCGACTGCGCGAATCGTTGCGCCSGTCTCCTCCAGACCCTCCTTGCTCATACTGCCCTCGCGAGTCATTCCGGCGGTCCCTCGAGTCATAGTGTCCTCGTGACTCATCGCGTCGGTCCCCTCGGTTGTAACATCCTCGCGTCTCATCGCGCTGCTCTCTCGCTTCTCCCCCGCGCTCAACCCGTCCACGTGACCCTTCTTGTCGTTCCCAGTCCCGATCTCCTCTCTCATATCTACTTCCTCTGTAGCCATCTCGACCCAACCTCTCATATCTGTCGTCCCTGTATCCGTCCCGGTCCGATCTCTCGTATCTGTTGTCCCTCTCCCATCGGCCGCGGGAGTCGCCTCTACCCCGATCGGCCTCATAGCGAGGGCTTCGGGGGTAATCATCTAGCCTCCTTGCTCGCACAAACAGCTCGCGATCTCTGCGGTCTCGGTCTATCTCATCGTCCCCGCGTCGCCATAATTCATCGTCTCTCTCTCTCCCCCTCGTACGATAATCAATCAGTGTCTGAGAATTTCTATCCTCGACACTCCTCCAGGGATCGTTGTTCCTACGGTCCCAGCGAAGTGAATAGGGCCCTTCAGGTTTGTCCCGGTAGGCCGTGGCCCCTGTAGCGGTCACAATCTCTGTAACCTATCTCGTTAATCCCTTCACCATGTCACGTATCTCCTTCACTTCCTCAGCCACGGCCTCATTCTTCTCCGACCAGGGATAGTCCTTGAAATCAGGACATCTATCAGTGGCATACTCCTTGTAGAGAGAGAAGTCGCGTCTCCTCATCCCTCTCCACACCAAGTCCTTGTAATCGTCTGCCTTTGCCTTTATCGCAAGCTTTAGAACTTCGGGGAAATCAAGCCTGTCGCGCGGAAGATCTCTAAGAATACTATTTTGCCTACCTTTGGACAAGTGTACAATGAAGATAGTACAGCGCTCAACCTCTGAGATCTTCCCCTTCTTCATTAGCACGTCGGAGATCTTCTGGAAACGCATCCCAAATGCCCGTACGCTCTCATCTTCATCTTGAGTCATTGTTTCAAGGTCCTTAATGGAATACTTGTTGTCCTCCAGTTTGTAAAGTTCAACGAGATTCTTCTTGTACGTAGTCCATTTCCCATCCTTCGGTCGAGCTTCCTTAACTTCCCTACCGAGACTTGGGTCCACATTAAATAGAAATTTCTCTATAATCTCTTCCTCCGACCACTGACTCCGGCTGGCGTGAAGCTCCCACTTCTCCAGATATTATGTGATACCATAGCCCCTGAAGGTAGG